GGCATTTTATCAGCTACGCTATATATATAAAAAAATCACGAGGGTTTTATACTTCCTAGAATTTACAGGATTTTCTGGTTGGACACTATACAGTTGGGAGAGTTGCTTGATCCCAGGAACTACCACTTAAGTGCGTGCTTCTCTGTGTCATGCATATACTTTTTCTTTGGTTTTTCTTACATTACATACCTACCTGATTTTTATAATTTTCCTTTTTGGTACAGACTTTTATAAAATACGCTGTATTACACAACTTGTCAAATATAAAATAGAATAGATTGAGATTCCAGGCTATGCACCTAACGTTATTGAGACTTGATCCAATTTGCAACACCTTTTAGAAACAGCAAGAATAAAATAAAAGCACACAAACTCCAGCTTCTCCTCCCCCAAACAAAAGTCGGAAAAGCCTGCAGACACTATTAACTTTGTGGTTGTCACAGGAAAGCACACGTGTCTTTGGTGTGATCAAGCTGCCAGCTAGCACTAACAAACAATGCTCGACCTTTCAGTAACATCAAGAGAAGAGCTCTATTAATACGTGGTATTTCCTTTGTAGTAAGATTACATCCTGCCTTTGCAGGAAGAGAAACTCAGACTGACTTATTTTAGTTCTTTAACTTACAATTCCAGCCTGGCAAGAAGAAATATAATTAATACTATGCAGCTTGGTATCATGTTCAGCTTTAGGTATTCGGTTACTTCCCTTATGGAACACTGCTCAGATTAGTGATTGAGGCAGGGGACTTGTCTTCAGTGTCCAATGTGTGTCTCCCCTGCTTGTACTTCTGCCAGTTGAGGCTAATTCCTACCAATTTGGAAATAGTCATCAAGTCCTGTATGTGCAGCTGAGTCACACAGGAGCAAAGAGAAGTTACTCATTAAAACTTGTGGGTTTTGGAGGGAGAAAGTATGCCTAACTTTTAGACTCCTACCACAGGTAACATTCATCAATGCTTTTGGGGGCGGAAGGGAAGGCTGATTTTGAGTGTGTCAAAGGTTTTAATTTGGATACATATTCCAAGCATATGGTACTGTTATGAACTATTGTAGTGTATTTAAAAAAAAAAATATTACAGCCAGATACGCTTTTAAAATAAACCATCTGCTTTAAACCAGAGCTCTTTTGATCCTTGCCTGTGAACAGCCAGTCACCACTCTGAGACAGGAAACTCTGGGAACGGAAGGAGAGGTGTGAAATAGCTGGGAGTCATTAGCAGTGTAGCAGAAATGTAGTTACCAGTTGCCAGGAATAGTAAAACCTTGCTTACACAAGACTCTTTTTTTTTTTTTTTTTTTTTTTTTGGTAAATTCCTTGGTTCCGCTGGGTCTCAAAGATTTCCTGCCCCGTGGGTCTGCGCCCCGCGGGCCAGCGGCAGCAGCGGGCCGGGATGGCCCCAGGGCACCGTCCTCCCCTCGCCTCTCCCACCGCAGCAGGACGGCTGCGGCTCTCGGCGCTGCCCAGCGTGGGAAGCTTCCCCTGCCTTTCCTCTCGGAAATCTGCAACGCTGCTCCAGCCCCAGCTCACCTGCCCCCATACCAAGGCATCCAGGACTCCCTCCCTGAAGCATCAAGAAATCCATCAGACGTAGCTTTTTGTGAAGCCATACTTGAGAGATGGAGGCAAAGAACAAGAAAATTCACTTTAGGATGCCAGAGAAGGTGGGGCATTTTTTGTCACAAAGACTGCTAGAAAGCACAGTTAAAAAGAATCACACGAGGGTGGTAACCCCCCTGAAGAAAACCCCTCGGGATTTGAAGGTGCCAAGGGGAAGCAGGAGTTGTGGTCCAGCCGCCTCCGGGCGAGGGGTGCAAAGGACGCGCTGCATGGGCAGTGCCAGAGCTTTCGGTTGTTTGGGGTTTTGTTTTGTTTGTTGTTGTGCTTCCCTGCCCCTGAAGTGTGTAGTCTTTCACTGACTGGAAGAAACTGGTTGGACACAAAATCTGTGGAGAAGCGCACAAGGCCGTGCTTCAGAACGTGTGCGTTACCGGCCCAAGCCTGCACCGTGGGATGGCCCTAGCCTAAGAGACAGCAAGGATTCCTTTTTCATTCTAGGTTTGTTTTGTGCTCAGGACTTTGTTGTTTTGTGAGGCAGCTCTATTGGATGCATCACATTTGTAATAGGGACGGCAGAAGCTCCTTAGTGATTTAAAACTTGGTTAAAAATATTAAGCCGGGCTTCAATATCAGACTGCAGTAGGGTCGTAGTTTGCTAAAGTTTTATTAAAATAGACTTACAGAGTCTTTTCCGAGCTTATGGAATGCAAGTCTGAACAAGGATCAGAATTTGATCGCAGTCAGGTGCAAGACCAGTGTTTGGGAAAGTTCACAGGGTTTGAAAGCATTTGCAATGGGTCTTGAAGCCAAGCAGCATCTCATCTTAATCTAATATATATCTCAAATGATAGCCTTCTTTCACAACTGTTAGAAGTCAAGACTAATATTTTATCTGGAATCAGGGGATCAATTGTTAAAAGAATTAAAGAAGTATGTATAAAGTTGTATAATGTTTCCCATTTCCCTCCTCCAACATTGCCAAACTTCCGACTACTTGGTCAGAAATATTCTGTATCAAAATACGGCCTGAAACTGTGCTTATTTATGTTTCTGCCAAAGCTTTGCAGATGGTTTTGAACAACAAAATAGGACCGAAGAGACATTTGGGGGGAATTAGGGCAAAATCATCTACATAAGCCAGAAAGAAATCAATTGAAATTCCACACAAAATTATGTCTCGACCAAAGAGATAACCAGGAAGATGATGAGAATGACTGGTTAGCGTATTCCATATGAAATTCATGTTGGTGCTACTGAGTTAAATCTAGGCAGATGGAAAGTAAACTTTAGTTTTGGAGAACGATTCCCAGAACCAAGATAATGGTAAGAGAAAGCATCACCTAAAATAGTATTTGGTTGATAAAAGCCTTGAAAATTTGCGACTTGGACAAGAGGCCTGAGTACAAACGGCCCTACAGTACTACTGTCCTTGCTAAACAAAAAAACTGTGAGAATTTAACTCCAGGTGATTAAAAGCCAGCAATCTTTCCAGGAATGGCAGAGCACAGCATAATTAAAACGGCTCAGCACTGCTGCCTGTTAGCAGAATCTGAAACTTCGTCGCTCAGGCCTGAAGGGGGCTGGTGAGCCCTACCAGGCTTCTTAAACTGCGTCAGCTGGTCTAACACAGCAAAAAACCAGGAAAGTCCTCTGTATTTTAACAGCAAGGTATTTAAAAACAAGGCCTCGGGGTCATCTGTAGTTACATATGGAAAGACATGGCTACACCTGGTAGAACTCGCTCCACACTTGACAACGTCAGTTCCTCACCTACTAACTGAGCCCCTTCCCTTCCAGAAGTGCAGCTGGATCCGTTAGGTTTGTTACTTTTATGGTTTTATTGCTCACATGTATCTGACATTACAAAACAAACTGAAAACCAGGAAATTCCAATTAAACATAGGAAAACCTTTACCCTGTGAGGGTGATATGGGTTCCTAACAGCACCATACACCTGTGTATGCATCCACCAACCCAACCATGCTGCGATTCTGTGACTCCCTGTTTCACGTTCTATTGAAGATTTATGGAATAATTTAAACCCCAGACTTTAGATGGCCTTTGCTCTAAGGACACATACTGTCTCAAAAAGCACCTGCAGAAAGGCAGTCTCAGAATTCTTATAAAATAATTGTTCGATGCTTTAGAAATCATACATCTCGGCTCTTGGCTGAGGCATACTCTGTCACAGACTTCTATCTTTTGCAACATTAGTCGTAAAGGAAGCTACCCAGCAAGCCCACACGGTGTGTCTACATCATACGGCCTTCACTGGTCTTCTGCATTTCATTGGAATTAGAATTTAATAATTAGTTTCCATGAGGCCTGACAACAGATGCGGACCTTGAAATCTGTCTCTCTCGTAGCATGTGGCTGAACACACACACACGTGGAAGTGCTACGCAGGAGTAAATAGAACAGTGAGTTCTCCCTCTGAATTTGAAATAGTGTCTTCCAAGGTAATTTTAGGTGAAAAGATGTGAAAAGCAAGTGAATGAAAACCAAAGGTACACAAATTTTAAAACCCTTGCCTTACGAACACAGTATAAAGCTCCTCATGCTAAAATTATGCTCCTAAAATTTTACCATCGGAACAGACACACGCAAACTTGGGTGTTACCCAAAGAGAATCCTTTAGGAATCAGTTTACAGGCACGTACGTGAGATGGCAGCGCTTATTATAACTATGAGCTGCTTGGGTTCACCTGAAGCAGCACGAGAAAGCATATGCAGCCAGCTTGGCAAATACTAGCAAGATCCCCAAGCCCAAACGCCACAACAAATTTAAGTTAGTATCTCACGTTAGCACGGTGGGGACGGCACGCGTGGCCCTGGGCGCTGCCTCAGCAAAATTCAGTCGCCCGAGCCCAGGGCCCCGGTGCCGCCGTTGAAGCACAAGGGGTCACGCGGGCGCCAGGAGCCGCGTGCCTCCGGTGGGATTCAGCCGTGGGTCGTGGTCTCCTTTGTCTCCTGATGGCACCGAGCAGTTTCGCCGGTCTGACCGAGTATGTGCAAAAGGACCGGCCAACCTTCCTATCAGTGCTCCCCTCCGTCTGGACACACCGTGAGAATCCTGTATGCAGACACGTGCACCCCGTGGAGTGTAAAGTCTATTTAAAACGCTGACTTCCCTGTAGTCCCTAAGCACCTCGCCTGAAAACGTTCAAAGGGGACTGTAGTTTTCGTGAAGATCAGGCAGCTGGTATTCTAACCCATTTTTGGAGCTCAAGGCTGATACAAGCTGCATACACAGGATACCCAGTATGCAACTCAATCTGTAACTCAACCAAGGACAACTTACTAGGCTGCTCCCATTTGCTTCCGTATACTGACAAAATCAAGAAATCCACAGTTGCACCGAGAGATTATGGAGAAATGTGATTTAAAAACCATTAAAGCCTTGCGCAAATTGCCAATAAAATAATAATGTCTAAACAAAATATTCAGATACAATGTAATATGTGTGTTTATTTTAAAATCCAATTTAAAGGTCCCTTTTTAAACAAAACAAGAACCAAAAAATCAACACAATTCAGAAGGTTTATCTCATTTACCATATTCTTCCCCATTCTTCACTTATCATAACACAAAGCAGCAACTTATTAGTGCTCATACAGTGCACTTATATGAATTTTGATTTGTGTATTAAGCTTTAAATACAATGTATTTTCCGTGAGCATAGCCCAAAGAGTACACAACATTACACTTTCAAAGCATATGTTAAAAAAAAGGACAATAAATGTATATCCAAGACAGTCAAACTCAAATATTTTGACTTGGCAAATTCTATAACAAGTAACAGCAATTTTAAACCGCGTACAAAGCAGAACAGCGCCAACATGCCTCCGGTCTGTGAGCTATGGTAAAATATCAAGCATACATATAAAGGAGAGAAGCTAAAGAAAACCGCCACAAATGCAGAGCTAACCTGAGGCACACCCAACCGCGACCAAACAAAGGCAGCCCACTTTCCCACTCTATAATAATGCAAAGAGCCCAACAACAACGAAAAGCACTTCTACGCTACAGGAAGTGAAACAGTCACTTCTTCCAATTTTGCCTCTGCGTTTTTAAACAACCTGCTCAAAAAATTTCAAGATTAACATCTAATTATACCAAAGAAATGTACAAACTAGAAAGTCAGAGAAGCTCCAGAAGATTGCCACTTTCAACCTTGCATAGTGATAGCTGGCATTGATATTGCTACCATAGCTTCAGCAGAAGATATGGAAAAGAAAAATCTTTACTTCTAAGTGATGCACACACGCAACATTTTCTTCACAAAATTCAGTTAAACATTGTTTTAATAAAAGGGAAAACAGCTCTAAAAAGGGAAAGATAGTGTTCACAAGCTTAGAAATAAAAAAATACAAAACCAGAACATTCCATAATAAAAAAATGAAAATAATAAACATTCCATCATAACAGCACCTATTCTATCACTAAATAAGCCCCATACATGCAACAAACTACAACTATTGTATAAGGCTCTCAAATTAAAGGTCTACCTTTCATATAAACAAAGTGTAAAAATAGCAGTTAAGTCGCAATCTTCAAATTTAATGCTATGTGAGGATTTTGTCCCCCGGTTTCATTTGGTAGCAATTTCAATATGCGTCTGATATAAAGGTCATTCATCTAGGAGCCGTGATACAAATACATTGTGCCTAGGACAGTATTGTCGTATCTCTGTTCGACCTTGACAGAATTGGAATGCTCAACAACACTACTAAGTTCGGGGATGCTTTCAGCAGTATCCCCAAAACCATGGTAGTGCCCATAGTGCAGAGTGTCTCCGGGGTCTTCCACCCACGAGGGCCGGTTAGAAACGCAGCTACTGGGGCTTCCGTTCAGGTGTAGGGATCCACACATGTCAGTGGAGTTGTTCATGGCTTTTTCGGGTTCCTCGGTGCTGTTACTGGGATGAATTCGATGCCTACTGGGAGAAGTGATTCCAGGAATTATTCCGTTAGGTGTTAGTGCTAAACACTCCTCATGCCTGGCATCCATCCCACCGAGCTGCTGCGCGGCGCTGAAATCCAAATGTCCATTGATGGCACATCCATTTGTCAGTGCATTCAATATGGAGCTACTGCTATTCATATCTGCATTAAGAAATACACCTGTCACCAACAATTAAGAATAAATCGAAATACATCAAAATGTCTCCACTCTACTCCCGATTTAAAAAAATGTTTCCACACACAGCTTTGAAAATAATCCTACTCTTTCTTTACTTGTAACAACATAGGTAGTTCAAAGTAATGAGAGCCGACTAGTAAGCTCGTAGCATGGATTCTCATGTCAAAAAAGCAACTATCTGTCTGCATTCAATGTGTAAATAGCCTATATTAATCTTTGCAAAGACAATGTGAACTTCTCAGCACTTTTGTCATTTAACCGTATGAAATAAGTGCTGCAGACAACATTCTGGGAAGTGTTCTGAAAGGTGGAATAAAAGGCATCTTTCCACCCTAACTGTAATGCCCTCTTGGGATGGAAGATTGTGTATGTACAAGAACTGAGGATCTGTGAGAGGGTGAGAGGTTGTTTTATTTTTCAGTTGTAATTTATCCGTGGCTCTTTTTTTCCTTTTTAGTGATAACTCTCACAGTGCAGCATACACTGAAATAAGTCAAGTAAAGAAATGTTATGTTGGGGTGCTAATACAAAAACTTTCAAAGCTCCTTTATTCAGAAAGTACTTCAATTTATCTAGCAGCTTGCTAGATAACATACTAGGCAGGTTTGTATTTAATGGTAAGTTTATATTAACATCTGTACAATCCACATGCAAAATGCCATACAATAGCAACAGCAGAGTGCACAGAAGACTAAAAAAGGTTAGCAGTAGGAAACAATATTCTAAAAATGTGCATGCAAAAATCACTGACAACTGTTTTAAAGCAATTTCTCCTCTGAATTTAGTAATTAGCACAATAGGTTTTATTTCCATAAACAGATTTCATCAGTATGTCTGAAATGTCTATTTTTGCAGTGGTACTCAAAGTACTAGCACAAAAAATGGGTGATATGTTCTGCCTTAAAAATGCCTACCAGTAAAGGACAGCTAAAATTTACGTCTATATTGGTAAAGATGAGCAAGGCAAATGCAGAAACTACAGACCTATATGGTGACATTTAAAGGTTTTACATTCTGTTATTATCCCTGGATACATGCACATATGTTTATGTATACATGAATGCATAAACCTACGTGCAAGACCGGATTGCATTTACTGCGTTATTTCCAATTCAGGCCGGTAAGTCTGTCGGTAACTTCCCACATTTGTAAAACACTGGGTTCCTGCTGAAGTGATGCGTAATGAGTACCACTGTTTGACAAGGGAGGATCTGAAGTTTTGGCCCCCTGGTCTTTCTCAGGGACATCATTTCAGATACGGTTTACGATACTGGTACTTCGTATACAGCAATACACAGTGCCAAGAAATGGGTCTGATTTGTAGCTCGCTGGATGTACTACCTGGTGTGTCCTCCTTAGTCCCTACATGAGTTAAAACAACCACATCAGCTGAGCTCACTAATGCCAAATTCTTACTGAAAGTGGAAGAAAAACCCCAAACCCATCAAGACATCAAAGCTAACGTTTCAGTGATGAAAACGCACAGAAGGAATTTCATACAGTGTTTATTAACTGAAAAGTGCAAAATTTTAAATGTTTAAAAAGAAATTCTTATAGGCTGGCTTCGCCAAATCAAATTTAATAGAAATGGCACTACTGTTAGTTAATGTGCAAAAGTAGGTAATGAATAGTTCTAGTGATAATCATAGAATGTTATTATTTGTTAAAAATTAGCACCTATAGTAATAGAGTATATTTATGAAAGACAACCATTTTTTCATAAATAAGAACACTTAGTAATTATCACTGGAAAATATCATAGTCTACTTTTAAAGTATTGATTATATATATATATTTTTATTCCTAATATATTAAAATATCTGTTAATTGTAATTCCCTTTGGTGAATTTGATCTGTGGTACAAAGCATAAACATATTTATCACATTAGAAATTAAAGCAATAAATTAATTTCTGAATGCAATAATGCACTATCATAGTAATTCCATGCCTGTACCTACGAAGTGCATGGAAAAAGCTGACCCAAGACACTTTTAATCGAAACTCTACACATCCTGGGGTTACCAAAAGCATCTTGACTAAGCAGCCCTTTCACTAATACTAGTATACATTTTGACTGTTTCATGAAGATCGGTACAAAATACAAAAACCTGTTTTCCAAGGTCTGTTACTTCCAAATACTAGTGTAAGATCTGCAATGTCCAGTCTTTTATTTAGAAAAAACCCCCCCAAAAACATAGCAGGGTCCTGCACCTATTTCACTGTGTCTGAACAAAGTCTTAACACATAGTACATGTCTATTATTCATAGTATTTGTCTATTTTGAATATAGTTTCTTCATTGTAACATACGTTATTTTCAAAGCTATATAAACACTAGGGTATGTTTCCCTATCAAGTCTTCTTCTTAGCAATTAAATATATCTACTGGAAATTAAATGATTAATTTAAATGATTTCTGAATTTCCTTTAACCTGAAATCATAGCAACTAAAAACAAGGCACAACATAATATAAGCCTCAGGTTAAAAGTGAAATAGCCATTGTGGATTTCTGCGTATCTGAAATAGTAATAAACTACTAAAAAACCTTCTCTTTCACCATTACAATATATTGCATGAAACAGCTAATTTTAGATACCTACTAAACCCCAATATAATGGGTGTTACAGCAATACAATAGTTTTCAGGACTCTAGACAACAATGTGCAAAAATAAAGGACTAAGTTTTATACTTAAAAATAAAATGCGTATTGATTCTTGCAACGACAAGGAGTTTGCATTGCAGAAACAGTGTATATTTCAATTTCTTTTGGTCCAACAGAAGTATTCTCCTGTTGTTTGGTGTCTTCAACCATTTGAATGTTGTTGTAGTTAACAGGAAACTGTCCACTCCCACCTGATACAACAGCAAACTCTCTATCAACGTGCATATTGTCAGCATCGTCCTCAACTCCTCCATTCATCATTGGTATTAAGCCATCAAAGCTGTAAGCTGATAAAGAAAGTCACATTTAGTTACTCGTGCACGCCTGAAAACTCAGTCAACAAACAGATAAGTACTTTGACCATTAAAGCAAAAGCTGTTTACAAAGAAATGTAAATTTTTCACATCTGAAAGCTTCTAACATGTTTGGGATTCCAAAGGCAGAATAAGTAAATGCTAAGTACCTGCACATTCATTTCAGTCCCTGGAAATGGAGCATTACCAGTGTACCTCTCAGACTGTGCACCCACAGACCAACCAATTAGTCTGATGCACTAATACATTGAATAAAGCACAATTTACGTTACTCGTATTTAGGCTTTACAGCTAGTGTGCCTGACAGACCAAAAGCGGTCTCTACCTCACATTTGTCTACTGCCAGTCTGGACTGCTCCCTCCTTCACTCCCAAGAGCCAGCTCCCAGTAACTCACCCCCTACTCACATCAGACTGCTCCAGGGACCCCTTCAAGGGCTGAACAGACAGATCTGACTTCGGAGAAAAGCTGGCAAGTGGTTCGGCTGCTGTGGGAAATGCTTTAGTGAGCACCCCAGGCTTGGCTTCACTCCCTCTTACACCTACCACCCAAGGCACTGCTCTCACGCGGACATTAACACACCTTTACCTAGACACTGCTCACACTCTTAATATTCTGTAATAAAGGGCTTCTTCGGTAGACTGCAAGTTAGCTCTCCTTACCTTGGGCACAACTGAAATTTCTGTAAACTACTCGTTTTTAAGGAACTCTAAGCAATAGTTAAAGTGTTTCGGGGCCAAAGAGATCACACAGGACTTAAAGTTGAGACCAGGGCCCTTTGATCAATGTGCTTCAAACTACCCTAAAGCAGGAAGGGAAAGGCATTTGTTCCAGTTACCTAGAGGAATATGGAAGTGCAGTGTCATACTGGGCAAGTCGAGAGTACACCTGGCAACACCCTCCATCCCCACCTCACAAAAAACACCTAAGAGCAGCTGTCCTGAGGCTCATGATGCCAATACAGTCACTGGTTGTGTATGGCAAGTCAGCACCGTGCAAAAGCCAACCTGCCAAGGGCCATGGACCAGAGGGGCTAGGATCAGGGCTGCCACAAACACACCTGTTTGACCCTGTGCACCACCCCGGGGAAGCAGGGTGAAATTCCTGGAAATGATTTCAGAAAAATGGACAGGAAGTTCAGCTCGTGTTTCTAAGTCAAACCTATTTGGTGTATATTCTGAAAGTGCCCACCGATTGATTTTTGTTAAGTTCAGCTTCAGCCTCTGGAACGCATTTTTGCATTTACATTTGAGAGAGTCATTAGTTTGTATCACAGTGTATCAGGTATCAGTGTTCCTGAATTTTGAGGCTGAAGCTTTTTTTAATACTATGCACCCAATAGCAGATACATGTGTGTGCATATAAACAAAATTACCTGTAAGTAAACTCCACCCACTGCCCAGTTTAGCTATTTCAGGACAACAGGCAAAGCTCAGCTTGAGTATTTATCTTCTTCCCACTCTATTGCTTACAGGTTCTCATAAAAGGCATATGCTGTGCCTGGTCACAAGTGGGTTTTTTCAAAGCAGTGATAGTTCCAATTTGGGGTATGGCCGTGAAAGTCTGACTCCTCCCTGCAAATACAGGTTGCCTGCCCTCTCCGAATACCTAAAATCTCCTGTGCAAATAACCTTTAAAGGACAACAGACCAGTGTTGTTTTGCTAAGGGCAAAAATACCACAAAATTGGGCTTTTTGTAAAAGGCTAGCTAAGCACAAAGATGCACCCATGACTTCTCATTACTCAGCTCTGTTGTTTACAAAGTGCCTCAAGAACAGCGATTCATTCACACTCTTTTTACACTGATGTGACAGATACATTCCTGATGCTGATGTCTCCGAGGGCAGACACGCCAGATTAGAAACTTCAGCTCTTCTGCAGTTGGGATGCATCTCTTAATTACTCTAAAAACCTTCAAGCAAATGCAGCAAAGCCTTGGCTTTGTTTGCAAAGGTCTTAAAACATCACATTGGTAAAGATTTCAAAAATTATCTGTTCTGGTTGCTTCTCCAACATCTCTGTAATTGCTTAAATCTCCTTCACTTAAACATATTATTTGCTCAGTCTAACTTATCCACTGGACCAACTGTTTATGCTGAGAGGTAATGCAGATACTGCCACTTCATGACAACAAATAGAGTAAGAATAGCTAGCCCGGTGCCACTCCCACAGACTATGGGGAAACACTACCTGTTGACTAGATTGGAACAATTTTCTGAAACTAAGAGGGACTGCTGGTTATGAACAAGGAATAACTCTTCAAAACAGAAGGTATGTACCTCTGACTTCAAGCAGCACCTCCCAGTAACAGAATACAAATGCACTTGAGGACACCCTTCCGCAGCTATCACAGGCATCTGTATACCGCCCAAGTTTTCTCATTCTGTGTAGCTACTGAATGACATATTATTCCTGAAAAGCAGTCTTGCACTTAATTGCAAAGGCACTCTTCTCCGTCATGAAATGATTTACAGTTCAGACCAACTACCTGAAGGAACACATCCCATTTATGACTGGCTATGGAGCTCCCCGTTAAGGCCTCTGATCCTGGTGTAGTTGAAATGGTGGCTGGGTAGCAAGTACTAAAGCAAATACTAGTGTCCATATAATTTATGTTGTCCATGTCGTGTTTAGAAACATTGGTTTGGTCTCAATTCCCCTCTTGTTATCTGGAATTAAGCACCATGAGCCCATTTTATTTGGCTTTCTGAAAGTCACACCAGTCAGAACATAAACTCTAACCAAAGAAAGTGTCTTCAATGAAGCCCTACAGTCTCTTTCCTGATGCTAGACACAGGGAGAAGAACCTTAAGGTTTGTCTGCAGAAATGTAATGGGATGACCAACAAAAAGGAAGCAGAAGATATTCTCTATTGTGTTATTTGAGGTGTTTATAAGATGTAAAAAAATATTTCTTCACAGAGCCACCAAAAAGTATCTTCGAGCTTGTACTACTGCATCATTGCTGGCAGAGGAAGAAGCTGTATCCTCATTGCACAAGGCTGAATAGGAATCCTTAAGGTTCATTCTAGTCTTACATCTTCCTGGAAGGTATCAGTTCCCCTTGGAACATGATCCTGGACACTTCACATAATCCCTCCCGATTTGAGAAATCTTTTTGCATTACATTTCTTTCATCCATCTTCTCTATCAAACAGTGTTTGAATTGTGAATTAATCCTGAGGTTGAAAAATTACCATCTGAACAGCCGGGTATCTTTGTGAATTAACACATTATTTGGCTCTCCTGAAGGAGAAGAAATTGAGGAAGGAGTAGAAGCTAATTTCAGCTCCTACTCCTCCACATATTATTCCTGGCATCATGTAACTTTAGCACTCTCTGGAAATAGAAATTTCTGAACACACCAAGATGATGACAGGGAGAGCTGGGATCTTGTGGCATGGAATAATCGTATTCATCTGCTTCTTATACATTAATATGCAATTTAGGTATGTACGTGAGTTTGCAAAAACACTCAACATCCACTCTGAAGGGCTTTAAAATGTTTATTTTCCTTTCTCAGCAACAGTATCATCCCATCCCTTTTACCTCTGGGGTCTCACCTTCCGTTCTAGCCTTCTTTACTCCAGCAGACTCCGTATCTTCAAAGGATCTCTTTCGACTTGTCCCACCACTGAATGGATTGGGACCTGCATTCTGATGAACCCCATTTAAGGTGCCATTGCTATAGAAATGATTCAGGTGACAGTTCTGGAGGTTCAAGAGAAACTGAGCACATTCTTGGAAGCCCTGGGTATGTGCAAGGTCTGCTGCTGTCAGGCCACTGGCATTTCTCAAGCTGTACAATACAAAGAAACTGAATTACACTCATTCGTCAAGCTAGCTTGCTGCTGCTGCTGCCCTTACTGACTATCTATCTGCTGGTGATGAGAGAAACATACACTTAGCAAATTTCCATTAAGAAATTAGTTATCAATCTTAGTTTTATAACTAACTTAACTTTTCGCACATATATCTGGCTTCTAAGCAAAATTTGGGAGACAATACACTTTCAAATAAAATCAATATACTATGTGCCTTAAAAAAAAACATCTTCCTATTTAAACTTCTCAAAATGCTTTACTCTAAAATAGTCTGAAGTATCTGATCTTTACATAAACTTCAGACTAATTTAAGCCTTGAATTTTACCATCTTCTGCAGCTTATTCTGCAATCTATTGCTTTAACTTGAGCAAAAGATCAAATACTCAAAACAAACTTAACATGACTTGGCAATTGTCCATGGCATTCTGGTTTCTAAGGTAACAACAACATCACTGTTCTTCCTAACAATAAAATATATACATATATAGGAAAAGATAGATAGATAAAGATGCTATACTTAGTTATGCTTTGCTTATACTTTTTTTTTTTTTCCCTGGTTTGTTTCTCATTTCAAAGCATGTGACATCATAAGTGCTGGGACTTGCTTTGTTATTTGAACCAAGACTATTTCATTCATGAGAGAATGGCACAGGATTTTGAATATTCTAATGCATCAGAGTGGCTATAAATGAAATCAGGTAGGACATGTAGTGATGTAGAGGTTTAATCTGAAAGAGTGATAATCACATTAATTTACACAAACATACAGTAAGTCTGTGCGTAGAAATAGCAGCTAACTTCATAAGGAAGCACGTAAAAGTGGAGACAAGAGGGCCAGAAATGACAAAACTAGATTGTGAAACAAAAGATGCCAGTAACTATTTCCCAGGTTTTCCCTGCCTTTCCAGACAGATCTAACTAATCCGAAAATTGAATTTTTGTTTCTTGGCCACAGTAGTTGAGACAAGTCCATTACTTAAAAATCCAGAAACAGACCAGCCAACACACTAAGAATTCAGAAGATTAACAGACCTGATTCTGTTGAAGCTCATACAAAGTAGAAAACAACTCACTCCAGCTCATGCAAAGAAAACAAAGAACAAAGCCCAGATATGCTTCCTAGATCACTGCAACTTATTTGCTGTAAAAATAAGACCAAAAAGTCTTTAGACCTGACTTAGAAACAGCAAGACTAATTCCATAAATGGATACTGCTGGATTATGTAAAATTTGGAAAAGTCAAAATACTACAGAATCATAAAATCCATTAGGCTAGGATCAGGGTAATTTAATTCCATACTACAATATTCTAAGTCACCACTTACTTGGACTACTAGTGAAAATCCAGAGAACAGCAGCCAAGAGTGGTCTAGAAAGGAAGACTTTAGAAGACTGAAAAACCTAGTTAGTCAAAAGAAATGAAACCTTAAGGTAGAGGTATTAATTTTGAATACCTGAAAGACAGCTGCAATAAGAATAATCCATTCTGTGTGTCCAGTGCTGGCAGTATTCATAAAGATTAATACGAACAAAGGATATTTGAAATTAGGCATTAGGAGAAAGATTCAGAGTACAGAGTATGTCGAATCTCCAGAGGATTCTCTTCCTCCCATCATTTTAAGAGATTATGATTTCAGAAATTCTGTAAAACACAGTCAAATCATTTCCCATGCTGAACTATAGAGCCTATTGAGGTCCCTGCTAACCAACATTCAATGCTCTTTTAACAGTTCCAATTTATTTGTGTAGCATATGGATGTAACACAATGCGACTACAACTTAAGAAATAGAAATTTCAACGTATCTGTTTTGGTCTAAAAGAATAGCTCAGTCCTCTGAAGTCCATTTTAAATTTGCGAGCCCCAGAAGGACAGTAAAGGAAATCTAAACAAGATTAAGTTATGCAAAGATAAAAATGACCAATATGGTGTTGAATGACCACCTAATTTAATAAAATTTTCAAGGACCATGTATCTCTATTACTTAGTAAATGTTATTGAACAATAACTCTGCTTTGAAAAACGCACTGTAAGACAGACTAAAGTTAAATCACCATTTCCCAAAGGAATGTTGATGGAAGTTTCCAGAGGCATATGGAGATGTACAAACTAAGATGCAAGTGTGTAAGGCTACATGAGCAAACTCTGCAAAAGAAAAGGTAAGTTTCCCAGAAACAAAATAAATTTAGTATTTGTGATTTTAAAATATAATGACCTTTGATATTTTTAGATCTGTCCCCATCTCTTCCTGAAGAGCTTACTCTCAATACGTAGACAAAGATTTACTTGTTGTACAGGAGTATTTTGGAAGCTCTCCGTATTTTTTCAAGGTAAACAATCATATTGGGTAGAGCATTCTTGCTTCTGAGTTTAGAAATATCTCTCTTAACAATCTGAGCCTGAATTTAGCCTATCAATTTCAAGGGAATTTCCTGTGTTCAGAAGTTAGAAATTAAAAAAAGAGAAAGAAAAAAGTCAAATCAAATAAAAGGATGACAGGATCTAGATGACTTCAGAAACTGGCTGGCCAACAGCTACGAAAAGGGAACTTAACTGTTAAGTTCCTTCTGCTCCCTCTTAGTGGGAACACTGAGGATCTTTTTGATATCCAGTTGCTAATTTCCATTAATTTAATTGAAGCTTGATTTTTCTGGGAGTTTCAAATACTTTCAACTTTCAGTTAAATGGCTTGCATGCCAATACTGATGGGATAGAGAAAAGGAGAAGCTGACAAAATTGACAGAAACTCTTAAGTCTCACTTTCTCAAAGACAGGCTAGAAGGATAAAAAAGACCTACTTCTTTGGCTCATTTTTCTAGCCTTCTCTGGGAGGAGAAATCTGTCAGTGGGAACACAAAAGGCAGCAAGAGTGCTATACTAGCTCATCCTAACAAAACGCAAGTAATCAAAAAAACCCAGCTAACTCAAGTTAATCATGTGCACAAAATAGGAAAGAAAATGCTCTCAACATGCATCCCAAAGTTTTACCAGAGTGAAACAGATTTATGTATTCCCAAAACATGTAGAAATACTATTATCACTGTGAGGATTCCAAGTGTGTAACAGAAAAATAGTCTTACACAGTCCTTCTAGAAATCCTGAAGTAATTGAATTAATTAAAAAACTAGGGCATCTACCAGACCATTCTTTAAAAATGCTAATCTGGACTTGGAGTGGAACTATTCTGTTACAGCAGCAGTTACAAGGAACCAGGAATTCATCTATTACTAAATCTGCAGTGTATGGTCTACCTCAAATGCTGCCAGTGTCTGAAAATGAAGCAGCTACCTCATCTCAGTCCATGAGCCAAGATACTGTAAACAGGCTCCATTACAGGAATGAAAACAGAAATGGTTCACTGCCCCAACTACACGTGAGGAGTTCAATCTCTTGCGTGTAATCCCTGTCACTCCTTGGTTATGAACTGCAATTATATGTAAACTGACTCTCAAGTGAAGAGAAGGAGGAGTAGTAACTGATGATTCATTTGTCTATATATACACTATATAGACTATTTATTACATAGACTGCGTGGTTAAAGAAAAAAATAAAATCAACAAGCAGGTAACTCAGAGGTAATCACTATATTTAAGTAAATTTTCAACTACTTCAGTTATTAGACACATCCCTTGAAAGGCATTTCCTCTTCATTTCTTACAGATGCCTGCATAAAGAAAAAGAATTTGACTAGGTAAAGGATTTTATAACTGAAAATAACTTCAAGACCTGGGCTGTGACAGAAAAGCAGTGAAAGAAAGAAATATGTAAACCGTTGGACAACATGGGTGGAAATACCTCAAAATATCACGTCTCTTGAAAAGTCTTTTCCACCTATACTCCGTATTTTTCTAAGTTAAAAATCCCTTCAGCACTAGTTTTGATCTTTTACCCTAAATACCTTAAAATAAGGGAAGCTGCAAAGCTCAGAACACACTGTTTGATACTAAATCTTCAGGCAAGCTGCCCTTTTGTTACTGATAATCATACAGCAAATATGATAGCTCTATTTCTGTAACTGCATTACTCAGAATTTAAATACAAGTATGGAAATGTCCTGCAGGTTTTGTGGGTGGCTTGAGATTTTTTGGGATTATTTTTTTTTTCCCCAACAAAGATGCCAAACTTGAGGACAAGTTTGTATTTCTTTTCAGGGTTTTTCTCTAAGCTAGGTTACCTAGCTGAAACAAGACTAGGCAAGTAATAAGCTACACAGACTGGTATTTTTCAAAGACAATCTTATGAAGGAAGAAGCGACCAGTACGAAAGGTGTGGAAGGATGAAGGAAAGTAATATTAAAGATATCAGGCCAAGCCTTGAAAAGTTACATGCATTTTATGATTAGTCAGTCTTTTTTTTTAATAGTATTAACTGACTTGGTGCAGTATTTTCTAAAGGCTGGCCTAGTTACTGTCAAAACAGACAGCTGTGCTCCAAAAACTTAATTCCCATTCTCTCTTGTAAAAAAAAAAAAAAAAAAAAAAAAAGCCAAACCCCAAAGACATCTCTGAAGGACATCAGTCCAGCTACAGAAACAGGTGGAAAAACTGAAGAAAGGACACTGAAAACTAAATCTCTGAAAATACAATTCCATTTTTGGCACCTACTCCAGACAGGATCATAGGTTTGAACAAACAGGAGAAAAATTCCTGTCTTGACCTTAACCAGGACTAGATGCAGTTTTGCTGAATGGTCAGAAGGTCAGTTCCCTCTACGCTTAGAAAACACAAGCCTTGCAACATTTCCAAAGCAATTCAAGTTTATGAAAAACTAATGAGTCCTGTTAAGATTCTTTCACTTGGCAGTATTTTTTTCTTTATTCATTATTTCCATGTCATTCTTATTACTAGAAACAAAGTAGAATCATGAAGCATGGTATTATTTACCCTCAGCCTTCTTGCAGGCTAAAATCCAGGATCTGGGAATGATAAAGACATACTGTTTTCCTCAAAGTACAGAACTATGATATGCTAATTCC